TTATAATAATAATAAAAGCAAATTTAACGCCAGTTTCAAAATTTGGTTTTGCGCATGCGCAGTGCCAACTTTCTTATTTATGGAGGGATTTAAATGAAATTCGATACATAGCCACTTGGAACAAAGGAACATCTAACGTTAGCTTCAAAATTTAGGTTTGCGCATGCGCAGTTCCAACTTTCTTATTCAGAAAAACATTGAAATGAAACTCTTCTTATAAACTGAAATTGAAGTAGCACGTCAAAAATGGATTGCACAACGCTAATCTTTCATATTTGTGGCCGGATTTTTACAATTTTAACAAAAGTTGCATCTTACAAATAGGAAATGAATGCAAGTGGAAATGCGCTTTCTGTAAATCGTTTACGATTACTTTTTAACTTGTTTCGTTTTAATTGTATTATTTTGCATACCTATTTTTTATGTAAATAATAAAAAATCAAAATTTTCTTAATGTGAACTTTTTTATGATTTAGCTCGCAGCTGTATGTGGAACCCTTAAAATGGCCCTTGGCGATAAATGAGTTTGACATGCCTGCCTTAATGCAACTAACAGAGCGAAAACTCACGCTTCCGATTGAATATCAACTTGCATAACAAATAACAAGGCCAAATAATCTCTGCAATTGTGATTGATGGAAATATTCTCTAGTACACGAAAAAGTACTTTACTCTAGTGAATGTACACGAGTACTCTGAATGTACTTGAGTAAAAGTACTCCAGTACAATAATGTAGGAAACTGAATAGTGTTGAGTATGAGTACAAGTACCTATTGAATTTATAAATTCAATGCTACAAGTACATTAGTACAAAAAAAGTATTCGTGGACTGAGTACGTACCAGAAAAGTACTCGAGTACAAACTATTGAGTACTTCTACTCGAGTACCGCACAGTATTGCCCTCACGAGGTTAAACAAGACTCGATTTCGCCAAACGCCGTCCTTCCCCCACAGGCCAAAGAAAAAAGAGGCCCGATCGGACCGCAAATGACCAAATGAGGACCGAAAATGTTAATGTGCGCAAAAACCAACCCCTAAGCGGACTTTTCACTTTTAACGTTATACGCGTTTCAGTATGACGTTTATAAACGAACTTGTATGATTAATACCTACTTATAAAAGTTGTTAAGAGTCGAGAGTTAGTTTATTTAATAACTATGCTTTTAATACTGTTATACGTCTGCTCCCGTGTCAATTTTAAAATTTATAGGCACTCTGACACAGAGCTGGGTCGAGCGTTCTAAAAAACCGCTCGAGCGATCTAATTGTCTCAAAAAAGCTCGCGAGCATCGAGTTGTTTTTCAAAGCGAAACCGCTTGATAGTTAAGAGAACTCCTAAAAGTGCTCGAGCGGAAAAAACGCTCAAGAGCGGAAAAAGCACTCGGGAGCGGAAAAACGCTCGCGAGCGGCGCTTAATCCTTCAGCGCTTGAGGGCGGTTAAAAGCGCTCACGAGCGGAAAGAATCGCTCGGGAGCGAAAAACACTCGCGAGCGGAAAAAGAGCTTGCGAGCGCAAACAAACGCTCATGAGCGGCCAAACCGCTCGTGGGCAGAAAAAAAAAGTGCTCGAGCGCCGAGCATTTTAAGTAAACGCTCGAGTATCGAGCACCAAGCGCCTGCTCCGAAAAGTGCTCGGCGCTTTTTCGGCTTGAAGCGCTTTTTCGAGGGAACGCTCGCGAGCAGTACCCAGCTCTGCTGACATATTAACTGTAGCTTGTCAGGCTTCGCAACACTGCCTTTGTATAGATCCCAAAAAGAATAAATCGCTTTCATTTATTCCAGAGTTGTTCTTTACCTTTACTGCGGCAACCTTTTTGGTTTCGTATCTACTTTTTGGGTTGGTTTGATGCTGCATATTGCGGAACGGACATTTTGCTGACCAATGGCTGTTCCTGTTGCATGTTCTGCAGGAGTGTCAGGGGGTTAATCCACATTTTCGGCACTCCTCCCCTTGTGGTGGGTTATCTCTGTTTCTCTATAACGTTTTCCCACTACCTTTAGTCTTCTTGTAGTATTATTGTTGTATTTTTCGTTCTAGTACGAGCCACTGCCTCAATTTGTTCAGTCGTACTACTCTCGGGGTTTGGACCATTTGCTCGTATGACGATCTGTGGTTTTTTCAATGATTCGGCAAACCTTATTTTCCAAAGAATCGTCCTGCCTGACTCGTAGTTGAACTGACAGTCGGCTATCGGCTAGTCCAACAATTATATGAAGCTTTATCATCTCGGCTTCCATTGTACCTACCCCATTCACAGGTAAAGGTTTGCGCTAAATTGGTCCTATCTGTGATAAAAATGTCACATGATTCGTTGTTATTCTGCGCGCGTTGTAAAAAACGGCCACGTTCAAACACTAAATTTTTCTTTAACAGGAAGTAATTGTGGAATTTGCTAAAGACAATTTCGAAATCTTTGAGTTCCTCGTTACTTAAGTGAAAAGACTTCAGAATATTCTCAGCCTTACTGCCCAAATATCCCAGAAAGTAGTCCACTTACTCAATTTCACAAGTACAACGGTCAGTCGGTATCGTGAAACCGAGAGTTTTACGCACTTACACAACACTTTAAATCACTGCTTTTTTCTACCCGAATCGCGAACAAGGCGGCGAATTCAGTTTAATTTAATCACTGTCGCCATGTTATATTATCAATAATTGCACCTACCTTATGCCAAATGCATTCTCATGATTGCTGTCCTTGTGACTGTGGTTTGTGCTATAAGGTAAGACGTGACATGCGTCTAAAACCTCTGAAGCGGAACCACAGTCACAAGGACAGCAAATAACGAGGATGCACTTGGCATGAGGTAGGTGAATAAAAAGCAAAGTATATACGTGAACACTATGCAGGTCAGTCGTCAGTCACCATTCACGCTTTGAATAAAGCTAAAGTAAAGTGTAAACGCGAAGTGACGGGGCACCGACTTGCGCAATGCATGTCAATTGGATGGAATACGAGCGCGAGCCGAGCTAAAATACGCGTTTATTTCGCTTTGCTCGTTGGCGCTGCTTCATTTACGTAGGTTTGAGCAACACTACTACAAAGGCGAAAAGCGGGATTTGCGAGACGCATTGGTTTAATTCCCGGATATATTTATTAATTTTTGAATGCGGGACTGTATTTGCTATTACGGGACCGTCCCGCTGAATACAGGACGGTTGGCCGCCTTACAATTACCTATCATATAGCAGAGGCGGCGTGCGCATCCGGAGTAAATCAGCTGACGGTGCTACTATAATGTTAATGTTTAATGAAAGTGGAAGATAACAAAACAAATTGATATTAACTTAAGTTACATAATGTTCACAACTTACCACACCAGTCTGTCACTAAGCATGGCAATCAACTGTTTCATCTTTATCAGACTGCTACATACTAACTAGTTTGTTACTTACAGGAACTAAATACCGCTATTTTTACGCAATAAGTGCAGATGTTGATGCTGAGAATCCCGGAACTGTAAGCAATCTACAATCCAAATACTACTCACAATGACCTTCACCTTTTTAGATTATAAAAGTGGACACACTACGCAAGACCACGAAGACATGGTGTGAAGATAGTTGTTATCCCAGTGAACCAATATTTATACCTTCTCCCAACTCGCAAAGTGAAGATGATGGAGTCATTTTGTCAGCGTTAGTATGGGGAGGGGCAGATACACACCATGTCGGGTTAATAGTTTTAAATGCCAAAACAATGCAAGAAATGGGACGAACCGAATTTCGTACGAGCAGTCCGGTACCAAAATGTCTACATGGTTGGTTTCTACCAAATAAATAAACATAGGGCGCTTGGTAGCAAATGAAATGTGAGATAAATCAATATATTATATTTGTTATAAGCAAATAACATAACAACTATTCTAACAAATTATTACATATGTAACGTTAACAAGATGATCATTTAATATAATAAAATAGTTACAAACATTCAGTTCGCACCTGGTTAGTAAGACCAAGTTTGAGATACCATTGACTTCCAAGTAATCGCAACCTCGCAATGTAGTTAAAAAAATAAATGCTCATCAACCTGTTTTCGATTAATTTAATTTTATATCTAATATCATAAGAACATTTCACAACATTTACCCACATGCTCCAAAATGTGAACAGTCGGAAGTAATACACTTACATGGTAAAATGTGTCTTGTTTCTTCATAATTGTGTCTATAAAATGTGAAGTTTACGATAATTTGCTGTAACTGGGCGGTGAGAACTTCTTGCGTAAAAATTTAAGAAAATATAAAGGCAAACATGAGATTAAAGTAATAACTAACACTTTCCAAAAGAAGTCCGCTGTCCGAATGAACTCCGAATCTAAAACAGAAGAGCGTTAGCGCAGAGGCATATCAAAATTGGCTTACATACCAAAATAGTCATGTAAAACAATCAGAGATAAAACATACAAAGCGAGTGATAGTAATTCGGCTAGTACCATTAAATAGTGCCATGTTCTTATATTTAGAGCAACCATTATTAGTTCCGTTAAGATTAACGAACTGAAGCTGATTGCGACAATGTGAATAAATTCGTCCTCGAAAAGAAGTAGGGCTCCATACATTATTACTCCGCCTAAAAAAGTGTATTTAAACAAAAGTCAAGAACAGTAATTAATTAACAGAAGAAATATCTCATTAAATTCAAATTTAGAGCTTCTCGCAAACTCTCCACTTTTAGGAGAATAGGCTATCAAATTTCGGTCAACGCACTGTTTAGTAACTGCGCTGAGTTTTCACTGTGTACGTACTCTATTTGGAGTAGCCAGCCAAGATATGAATGGCGCTAATGTTCTTTTTTAGGTAGGGTATACTCTAAATAACCGGGTATTCGCGTTCCATTCTTATGTAAATACCTCAAACATGGCGAATTTACGATTCCTCCAAAATGACAAAATTTCTGTGTATAGTATTAACAAAAGTATTTATCTATTATAATTACACTCAACGCCAAAAAGTTAATTAAACATGATGACAATACCTACGATTTACATAGTAGTTTGAAATAACAGTCTTTTTTATACCTCTAACATGGCCGACCGATAATACCCCCCTTTAAGAGCATACCCTATTTTTTAGTCTATGTAGGTACAGTCGTGGTCAGAAGTAATCTCCTACATTTGAGATAACAGAGGGATATTACTTCTGACCAAAACCGTACACGGCACACCATATATGAGACTTCACTTGGTTATTCGTTAGATTATTTAAAAAACTAATGATGAGTTCGCAGCATTTTCATATGTATTATTAAATTTGTTTTCACATAGGTTTCTTTGATAGTCCTTTTATCAAGTAACGATAAATACCTTACGCTTTCAACCATATGTGTTTTGCTCTACCTTATTTGAACCTCAGACACAGCGGCCATTGCACCACACGTATTCAGGTAAGGTAGAAATAAATTCAAAAACTTTTGACCACCGATTGTCCAGATAAAGCTTTTACATCCCTCTGGTGGGATGAAGGTAAAAGATGGTACAAAGTAGAAAAGGGGAATGAAAGGTTTAAAAGAATAACAAGACATTGGAAAATGTTAAACCTTTGTAACGAAACAGCCGTTTTGCACCATGAAATTTACCAGACCTAATGAAAACACTGTGGACAAATGCACTCAACAGAGCGCTTCATTACAAAAAACCGTAACTGCTGAATTTCCAGAAGTCAGCAATGGCATGCAGAATGAGTTAATTTCTTGTGCGGTCTTTCAACCGCCGATAGTAAAACAAGATGCAATTGACTAGTTTTGTAACTGTTTCCGTGAATATTTAAATTATTTTCGCAGCTCATTTTAGAAAGAAAATTAATATTTTATGATTTCGGTTCCGTTTATTATTTATTCATCGATTTTATGTTCGCAATGTTACGTGAAAACCGAGATTAAAACGAGTATGGTCGCCGCAATGTATTAAGATAAAGAAACCTATTATTCACCTGAAAATTCCAAGACACAATGGACTTCTGAATTTAGAAATTTTAATGCGACCAATTAGGTAAGGTTAATTACCGGTTGCTTATTATATGTGTTGCAGTAAACGGCGGCTGATTGGAATGTGTTTAGTGTTATTTGAAACGCGGTTAATTATCTTGATGTTTTAAAGCCAGGTCTCAGATTTTTAGGACATCGGGATCCAAGAAATTAATTAAAAACGTTTTGTCGATGAACTCTTCAATTTTGAATTTCATTTTTTAAATAAAAAAACGACCAGCAGGTTGGATGAAATTCAATGACATTTATTTTCTGTTATTCGCGATCGATTTCGGCCTAACTGGCCATCATCAGGCGTAGCGTCATATGCCTGATGAAGCTACGCTTGAGGATGGCCAGTTAGGCCGAATAGGGCTGGGCGATTACGGGTTTGAATAATCGATAATCGATTATGAAAAATAATCGATTACACTGATTAATCGATTAATCAAATAATCGATTAATCAAATCATCGATTAATCACCTAATCGTTTAATCAAAAGTCGATTGTCACATACAAGGAGTGATAAATATCTGTTTGTATGCATTAATACGTTAATTATTTAATAATAAAAATAAAAAATAATTCCATTACTCTTTTCATCAAATCGTTCATTACTAGGGAGATCGATTAATCAATAATCAACAAAGTGTCCCTGGTTCGAATCCGGGTTCGGGCATGGATATTTGCAAATGCATAGTGGGTTGGTTGGTAGAACAGCCTTGGCTGAAACTCTGCCCATTTGAAAATGAAGGTCAAAAATAAAAATAAATGATTAGGCAGCTTACTCTCCGATGAGGTGTGCTTTAGTTTTGATGATACAATCTTAATTCATTTTAGCTGCTTAAAGTGACGTTTTAACATCCGCTATAAAATAAAATAATACTTGTGAGCTGTGAGTGCTCCTTTTTGTGTAAACTGATGATCCAGCTAATAATAATCAATTAAAATTTACTTAATAATTGATTAATCAAACAATCGATAAATCAAATAACCGATTAATCAAATAATCGATTAATCAAACAATCGATTAATAAAATAACCGATTAATCAAATAATCGATTAATCGATTAATTTAATGGAATAATCAAACCCGATTATCGATTATCGTTTGATTATAATCGATTAATCGATATTTTTGCCCAACGCTAAGGCCGAAATCGATCGCGAATAACAGAAAATAATGTCATTGAATTTCGTCTAATCTGCCGGTCTTTTTTTAATTAAAAACGTTTTAATTTTGGAGCAGTTTGTAAGTGCGTCGTGGTGGCTGGAAAATCCAGGTTTCCCTTCACGAAAATGCTGAATTTTATATAATAGGCGTTGAGCCAGAGGGCATGTGCGGTTTCATTTCTGGGGAGTAAGTGTAACCTACAAATTTAGATTCGTCATGAAGGTAGGATAAATGTTTGGTAGGATACTTCGAAAAATTCGGTAGCTTAGTGACGTTATGGCGTCACAAAGATGGCCGCCGGGCGAAAATCTTAGTTAAGCATTATAAAGTCTGGTTTAATGTGTAAGGAGTAAAAGTATCATACAAATTTTGATTCAGCATAAAGGTAGGATTAATGTTTGGAATGATACTTAGTGGTATTCCGTAGTTCAGTTACGTTACGACGTCACGTTCTAAATGTCTAGTTTTAATTGTAGGGAATGGAAGTATCATACAAATTTTGATGCAGCATAAAGCCAGGATCAATGTTTGAGATGATACTTGATACTTTGGCATATGCATAACGTAGCCGCCTCTCTCAGAGTTTAGTCAACTGTCGTGGGGATGTGTTCGTGGTAGGTACTAAAGGGATGCATCCCGACAACTTTGTTGCCATTGAGTTGGGCCACGCCATATGAAAAACAATTTGATGGATTTTGTGGATTGGGGAGGTTGTGGGGAGGGGGGCTAACTGGGTGTTATCCGAGCCGAAAGGGTACGGCCACAGCTTCGCCACTGGAATATCTGCATTAGAGGGAACTCTGATTTCTGGTGATGGCCTGGCCCCCGGGCGTTCTACTAGTTTCCGCTGCCTCCATCCTTTTGTCTCATTTCCTTCCTTCTTGTTTCTCCCTTTCCTTATTGTTGTCCTCTTCGTGCCTATCTTTCTGTCTCCTTCTCTGGGCTGCTTATGCTTATATCTGATTCTTCCTCCACCTCCAGTAGATAGATCTGGTTTCTTTCTTCATTTGGTTTTTGTCTCTGCTCCACTCTTCCCATCTTTCTATGGGAGTCCCCACTCCCCGAGGCCGCCACCGTTTGGTATACAGTGGTATTCCATGTGAAGTAGGGTCGGCCTACTTTCCATTCCGAAGCACGTAGATTTTTGGCCATCTGCAGTATAATGATCTTTGTTCCTCCTGTTTATATGCCCCCACTATCGCTCAGCTGCCTCATCTTCAGTCGCCCAGTGATCGCCTTTCCTCCTAGTAATTCCCTTATCTCTTTTCTTGTGAGGTTGCTGTTTTCAAGCAGTATCCGTATTGGCTTCCGTTCCGCCCTCCTCATTGTTTGTCTGTTACTCTTTGTTAGCGTTTCTTAAAATTGAGTAGCTTACTGACAGAATCATTTATTTATTGATTTATTTATTTATTGTCCATCTCTTGTTCTGGGCCCTCAACAGGCTTTCGCCCAATTACACCACATAATGCTTTTTAGAGGGACTCTTACATGAGGTCTTAAGTTCTTCTATACTACTCCAGTATTTACCATAACAATTAGGAAAACTACAGGAAAACCTAATTCGGAGTATTCGGCAGAACCTCAACCAGGTTGGAACACCCAACCTCCGGATTTATAGTCGAACGCTCTACCACTGAACCATAAAGTCGAGCAGATAATATCGGTCTTGTTATTTCAATTTGCGTATAGTCAACTTTTGCCTTTTTGTTTCAGATATGGATTCCGGGCAGACTTTTCACCATTTACAAAAAATTGACAATTATAAAGCAGTATCATGAAAACCGCTTAGCTGCCATCTTAGCTACCAACTTTCACAAAGTATCATGCAAATCATTGATCCTGTCTTTATGTTTGATTGAAATTAAAATTTGTCTTAAAACTTGCCTTAAAACGGTATACAACGATTTTCACTTGGCGGCCATATTTGTGACGTCATGATGTCACTAAGCTACCGAATTCTACGAAGTATCATACCAAACATTTATCCTACCTTCATGACGAATCTAAATTTGTAGGTTACACTTAACTCCCCAGAAAGAAAACCAAACCGTCCATTTTTGACCACCTGGCTCAACGTCTATAAGATGAGAGTAACATTATGAAGGAAGATCGTTTTCATTTTGCATCTTTGAACGTTGGGCCCTACATCTTATTTATCTAGCTGTAAACCGTTTCTCTGATGAAATTGCCTGTGGCTTCCGAAACAGTAACCAACCGTCATTCACCAGGAGCAAGAAGAAGCAACTTCTGGTGGCGCCCGCACTCAACTGTACCGTTCCGCCGACTATTTGCAATTACATTCACACAACTGGAAAATAATTTATTTCGCTAATTAAAATTTATCTTATCGATCCAAGTAATTTCTTTTCCATTTCAAGGCAAACAACCGTGTTGCGCGGACTGCCCCAAAGTTCGTCACACCTTGCCAAAAAACTACCGCACTAAGTAAAGTCAAGAAAAAAGAAAGATGAAGAGTTTTTTGTAATGGTTTGAACAAAGGTAACCCCACTACATCTCATATGGGAACCGGTGAGAAAATTTAATCTTGCAAGTTCTTACAAAAGCAATTCAAAAGATGAATTCATTCTGTCCCTGGAAAATTTGTGCCCTCCCTTTTTGTCAAAGAAGGCTATATGTCGGAATTGTCTTTTCTTCACATTCGCCAAGCGATAGCATCACGAGAGCTTTAGATGCGCAGTGAACGAGTTTGCGCGGTTTTTGGATATGTTCAAGAGGACAGTCAAAAGAACATTTCAAAACTATAAATTTATTTAATTATTATTTTGAGATTTTGGTAGTAAATAAAATGTGGAAAAAAGTATAGTAAAATAAATAACCTTAGCTTTAGTGGATATAAAAACCCAATTCGTAATTGCACTTACCTTGGTAAATCGATATAAGTACCCACATAAAAAACGTTTTGAATGACAAACTTCTCCCCTTAGACAGTTCCTTGTACAATTCGGGGTACGTCAACGCAATCTCGGCGCTGACATCTTGATCAAGCACTAAACTGAAAACCTAAAACAGCAGCATAGAAATCACGTTAACAGTATTCTGTAATGGAACTTACTGGAAACATTGTATACAATGTAGCGTAACCGACCATTAGAAATCCTTGATAGAGAGCTACTGAACTTAAATAAAATACGCTACTGAATACTGCTTGCATGGTGGATATAATAAGCCCTCTATGCACAACAAACTGAGATAATGACGACGAACGTTTATAAGAGTGTCTGCCATGAACCAGCAATAACCGTGCAAGATAAGAAAATTGAGGTATGCTGAAATCGCCTGCCAAACTTGCTTGTTTTCCTTCTCTTCCTTCAATGCCAATACCCGCATCGGCTTGTTGAATCATACTAACATCATTGCCACCGTCGCCTACTGCCGCAGTTCGTTTACCCGTTTGTTTCTGAATTAACTGCACCTATTAAAGAATCAATTGAGCTAAGTCGCTGAATTAGTGTGACAAACGTACCACTTGAGCTTTTTGTGTTGGTGAACATCTGCAGCAAACAACAGCGGGCGCCGCCGTTGCTAGCTCCATGAATTCCTGTTGGTAATAATTTAGGCAAACTTCTAAACTTTCACCGCTCACTACTAGCGCACAGTCGCTTCTTCTTCTAAATGCGTTTAATTCTAAATGTGCGTCTGTGCGTGTTTCAACTTTTTTGAGCACGAAAAGGCCTACAGTTAAGGAATGTGTAATAATGCCATGATTGGCACGGTCAGTTACCTTGCGTCCTCGATACAAGCCTGGAACTTTTTGCAATACAAGTGGCCGTCTCCAATTTGTCACCAGTAAGCATCCATATTTTGATTCCAGCATTACGTAACAATTCCAAAGTTGGACGCACATGATCTTGTAGCTTATCTTCGACGCCAGTAATGCACAACAACTCCATTTCACGCTCCAGAGATTCAATAACTTGTGCCACTCTTTGTACACGATCAGACACTGACAATCTGGCTGCATTATAGCGGCTCTGCAAAAATAAATAAATACAAATTTGTCACAAAATCCAGTGCCTTACTTCAAAATCATTGTACTGCTCCTCGCTTAGAACTTTACGTGCCACCACCAGAGTTCGTAGACCTTCCCTCGCCATATTTCCGCACTCCTCGTCCAACCAATCTGTGTACTGCACAATTCCCGACATCACGACGTCCGCGCCTTTTAAATAAAAAACTATTTCCCCCGTTTGTAAATCCTACAAGTTCAACCCTGAGAGACCTTGTGTTTCCAAAATTTCTCGTTACCTTAACAATGACGCCCATCCGCTTCGTTTCGCTGGTAAACGGAAAGACAAGCAAAATAGAATAATGAAATAATCTGCCGTCGGGTGTCCTTAGCTGCATGGTCGATAAATCGCGGTGATGTAACGCGAGGCCGACTTCCTTCGTCCACTGAACTAAAGCGACTTCGTCGGGGCTAGAGGCCTGGTAGGTCATGTTGCGATCGGTGGCAGTTCTCAAATGTTGGTCAGCTTCAGTTTCAGATGAAGTTAATGAGTCTAAAAACCATTGACCTTAAAATTTGAAATTTGGAAATGGTCAAATAGCCAAATTATTTGATAATTGCGCACTAAAATGAGACAAGCTTATTCATTTTTCTTTTCTGCTCCAATTCACTTTAAAAACTGTAAGTCGATCTCCATTTCGACCTACACTTTTATCAAATCAATCAATTTATGCAAGCTTTTGAGATGCACACATTTTTGGTGGCAACCGCGCAACCTTTGAGGAGTATAGAAAACTATGCGCAGTCGCTAGATCACAAGTGCTTGTTTTGGCCATATATATAAGAGAAGTATATGGATAAACGAGTGGACACGCCCATCGCCAACATTGGTAGAGGGAAATATACTTCTGTCATTAGTAGTCAACTAGGCGCTAATGCGCTTGCCTGTTATTATGTAATCGAGGTTGAAGGGTGTAACCGTACACAAACTCGTCTGAGGAAGCTCGAAAGTTCTCCGTGAAAATGCAACAGATTCCAAGCAGAACGATATGGAGCACCTTGACCACTGCTTTGAGTTGTCAGTGAAATCATTCAAGTAGGCCATTAACTGCTTGGTGGCCACTATAGGTCCCGAAACCTTGTGTGCCGAAAACAATGTTGAGAGCACAAAAAAGGGAAGATTCAAATTGTCGTCGCTGATCGGTGAAGATGCTAGTAGGGGAATCGAAGCGAGATAGTCAACAGGTAAGAAACGCTTAGGCGGCGATTGGTCTTCAGAGGGTGGGCCTCGGCCACCTAGTATACGTATCTAAAGACATCACGGGATCAGACAATAGTGATAGGAGTCGGCAGGTGGAATAGGGCCAATGTGGTGAATATGAACCTGCATGAAGCGAATAGAAGTCTGGGTGAAGTTTCAGAATGGGGCGTGGTTGTGTTTACAAATGGTAATTGCACACAATAATGCTTTAATAAAATTTTAAACCTATTTTCGAGTTATAGGTTATTAAATTTGAAATTGGCGCTACTTAAAAGTAGGCGGTAAGAAGTAAATATTTACTTAGGGAGTTTGCGCATAAATACAGAGTTGACTACTAAGGAATAGGGCAGCTCTCTTTTATGGCGAACAATTTACACATTGGCATCATACGCGGTTATCCATA